TAGGATTTTTCTGATACTATGACAGTGCACGCCCAAAGCCCACCAAACCCCCACTTTTTTTTCTTTAACATATTCCCAAAACCCTGAACCAGAATCCCTATACCACCATGCAGTGTTAGGGCTTCATGGGGTTCAACGAGTTGACGGCCATGGTCTGAGACGGACGCTTCTGTTTTCGCCAGCGGTGCCAGAATCGCCTCTCGACGCTCAAAAATACTTGCTGGCCGTCCTCCATGAATCGGGGGCCTCAAAAGCTAGGATGAAGGTAGGTGGGATATTCCCAAATAAGAGTCCTTATATAAGGGATCCTTAATCCCACCTACCTTCATCCCACCTTGTGAGGCCTCCGAATGAAAGCGGTTTAGGGTTTAGGGCAGAGGGTTCTGGCAGAAAAGGATGATTCAAAGACCTAGAGGTGAGACAGCGCACCCAATGCGCAAATCAAGCCTATAAACAAACCACTCTAAAATCTGGATGTGTTCAACTCACTGTGTATGTATGCGTCTTTACATGTACATGCATTTACAGTTCACGCGTCTATGTGTTTGAAGTTTATAGGTATGCATACAGGTAGGTAGACAGATAGATCGAGAGGTAGAGCAGATGTGCGGATTGATGGACGAATCTAGTCTTAAGACTTTAGGTTCCTCTTTGGTCTCTGTTCTTGCTTCTCCCATCCGCGTGCCGCTGCCGCCTCTTTGCAGCTTGCGCCCCTGGGTGGGCGGGCGCAGGGTCTGTGCCATGGCCCGGGACTTGGCTCGGTGAGCTGTGAGGAATCTTTCTGTTTTGCCTGTCATGTTTTTGATGTTGCGGGATTTTTTGCTCCTTTAAGGGGGTTTAAATAGGGCTTTGGGATTCTTTGGGGGTTTAAGTGTACGGTGTGGGGGTGATTTGGATTTTAGAAGTCTTAGAGGCTGGGTGGGGAGTGTCAGCGGCTAAGACGTTTGAACGCTGGCTTCGCAAGAATACTGCCTCGGAAGCCAACGATGCCTATGCGCAAGACTGGCCGAAGGGGTTGGCAGGTTTACAAAGACCACCGTGCTCACTCCCCACAGTCTTGTGCGCTTGAAGCTGCGCTGAAATCGTGCTTTCTTCTTTTCCATACACGACATCATTGACCATTCTTCGAATCCACGGCTTGACAGGATCCCGTGATCGTCAGACGCTGCGCATTGCTGTCTATGCAGTACCTGAGTGCCATGACTCCCGAAATCGCACCCTGAACCCTAGACAGCTCAGGCATCGCTCGGCTGGGTTTACCCATCTCATGGGGCGCTTAGAGCTCAGGTGCAGGGAGCGCATGGAGCTGCAGCTAACGCTTCTTGTGGATATGCTTGCTCTTCCGGAAAAGGACGGCCATCTGCAGCAGAGTTCTATGTGTTCTGGTACCTTGCTCAGGTCTGGAAGCAATTTGGCGCATCGTCCATCTAGTCTAGGATCCAGACAGGCTCGCTCTGTCACTTTGCAACTGTTTAGGGTTTAGGGGTTTAGGGTTCCTGAGTCTATGTCTTTTCTGCTACAGTCCGGGGATGGGGCTTCGTTGGCAGGTTTCATTAGCAACAGTTCAACGCAAGTGCCCTTGGCAAGGTTCTTTAATGCCCTATTTCCTGTTATTCTCCGGGCTGGACTTGTTGCTACCCGTCTTTGTGCCGCAATTAAGGCCGTGTCTTATGCCTCTCATACTTCTTACATCGCTCCTATCAGCATCTTCGGTTCAATTGAGACCCGCTGGCATTGCATGTTACTGAATGGGCCAAAACCGTGGCTTGGACTCTCGCTGTAACGGCTGCCTGAAGTCTTGCTGTATGTGAGTAAGTATCGCCTTCGGGACTGTTGTCTTGAGTCATGAATTGGTAGTATCGGCTTTCTCCATCATGTTCTATACATGTTATGTGTTGCTGGCATTAGCTACTGTGGTTGTGATCACCGTGCTGGCACCGTCCACGCTGAGCTGTGATTGGCCATGGCTAGGGTGTACAGATTCCGCGTTGTTTTCCTTTGAATTCACGGCTTGACGCCTTTGCAACCTAACAGCTTTCGGGAGCTAGGCCAATGGTATGCAATCAATCAGCTAGAGGATGCTAGAGGCATAGATACAGAGGCATGCATACAGAGCGGTGAAAGCAGTTACAAGACGCGGTTGCGGCTGCACCTAGCTGCATAGAGGCTCGTGTGTGCATAGCTACTGCACGACATAGGTCGACAAGTACGTATTCAGATACGGGGAAAGGTACATCTGCAAACACGCAGGTAGGTAGCTAGGCAGCATATACACATAGATACGATAATGTAGCACATCGGTACACATGAGGATTTACACATCGGGCGATTTCGAGCAATACCGGCCGGCACAGATACTACTTTGCAGAAAGACAGACACATGCACGTCTGTGTGCATGTATATACATATAACATGTTTATGTGAGGTAATGTATGAGTGTATGAAAGTCTGTATGAATGAATGTATGTGTAAGTATAAGCTCTCGGAGAGAGCTTCAGTCCAACATCCCAGCACAGGCCGCCCGCCCGCCAAGCGGTGGTGAGCATGGAGCTGGCACGGCTCTGGCTGCGGCACTGGCCGCACTCCCGGTTTCGAATGGGGTCTTCCACCCTGCGGATAATGTTCATGGGTCTCAAGGCTTGTGGGCGTTTTTGGGAGTTCGGTTTTGGGAGTTCTGTTTCGTTCTATGAAGTTGTTTCTGTCTGGGTCGTTGAAGTATTCGCAACAGGGAGTGAGCAAAAACGGGAGGTTGACAAGCAAGAAGCAGCAAATGATTGCAAGAGGCTACAGTATTCTGCAACAAGACGGCTGCCAAATCCTGTTGTACACTCGAGCTTAGGCTCTCTTGTTTCACACAGAGTGCTCGTGAGGCCTGCGCCGCTGCACGGGCGCAGCGGCGGCCGAGGGGAACGTGCCGAGCTACCACGGTGGAGGCAAAACATCAAGCTCATAGAATAACGTTGTACTAACTCCACGCCGTCGGACCTGCACTCATGCAGCCACTCACAAGAACATACAAGAACTGAAACATCACTAGCATGAGTTTGCCTGCTCCGATGTCACAGTAGGATGTGCAGAAGCGTGATAGCAGGACACTATAAAGACCAAGGTGATGCAGTCGTGGCATACTGCTCAAGTCTTACTCTAGCGCGCCCAGAGGATGCCCAGCAAGATCCCGCTCTCACTACAATAGTTGAAAGCACGACAGATGTGTGCCTGCAGTTGCAGTCATGTCTTGTGTAGAATATTTACCCCGATCTAGCAAAGATCACCCTAATGTGAAACAATACTGTACTTCTGGGGGCCAGATCGACTCCGACGAAACTCTGCCAGACATCGGTGAGAAGCTCTAGCCCGAAAACTTGAATCTCAGTGATTTATTGCATGTATGTGTGAGAACTGGTAGCGCGCGCCTTATGCGGTGAATCGATTTTGGAAACCCGCTGCAAAGACTTCCCTTGACTGCTACCAGTGGCTAAGATCGCAAGTTTTCTCTGAAAATTTGGTCGCGTGTCCTGCCTGCTTCAGCACTGGCAAGTGTTTGGACCGGAGTGGTTCACAACTCGTTTCAGGGAGGCGCACCCCTGCATGTGCCACTCGTATCTACCATGAAGCTGCTGAGTCGTATGTGAAGACTTAATTTAAGTTTCTTGGGTCTGACTCTTGGTAAACAAATGTGAATGAGTTGGTTGGACTCAGGAAGCGCGTTCTCATGATGCACCCATATCGGCGATAGAGAATCCCGCTCTGCCATGGAGGTCGGAATTGTGTACGGCGTGGGGTCTGCCAGTGCTCACGGTGCAGGCTTGTACGCAAGCATAGCAGCCGCAGCGGCGGCAGCAACAACAGCCGCATCTGCACCTGTCACGGCTTCAACGGCTTCAGGAGCTTGGGCCGTGACCCTTTCAGGATGTGGAGTGGTCATGCAGGCGCTGTCAAACTTGCCCGCGGCCTTTTGCGGTGGGCTGGTCGTTAGCTCAGCCTGGGCAGGCATGGCCTGGTTACGAGAAGAGGAACCAAAGGAGCCCGTTATGATCAGGCGCCCAGCAGAGGTGAGCTTTGAGGTTGACGAGATCGTTCTGGGTCAGCAGCTCGGCTCTGGGCATTTTGGTGTAGTTCACCATGGCCTAATCCATTCGAGGGAGTGTGCTCTGAAATACATATCAACAGAGACCCCTCGCCTAGCAAAACAAGTGGCTTCCGAAATTTCGAACTTGAGGGCGGCTGCTGGACATGATTGTGTCGTGGGCTTCTTTGGTGCGGCAGCTCTGGACGATCAAGCCGTCATCGCGATGGAGTACATGCCAAACGGAAACCTCTTCGGCTGGGTGTTTTCTGACAGCTTTGATGAGGTTCGGCTAAACAAAAAGCTTTGCATCGCGTGCCAGGTTGGACGTGGCCTGGCCTATTTACACGAGTGCAGCATTATTCACCGCGACCTGAAAAGTGAAAACGTCTTACTCGATGCCTTCTACAATGCGAAGGTTGCAGATTTGGGACAGAGCATTCAGCTCGCATCTTCGTGCCTGTCAACCACGATTCGTCGGCCGTATGGTGACGCCAGGTACCGGGCACCCGAGCTGTGGGGTGATGCCGATCTAGACTTGGAGTTCGAAGCGACGGCACGCTCGGACGTGTGGAGTCTCGGTTGCGTGCTCTTCGAAGTTTTCCAAAGACAAAAGGTTTGGGAAGGGATGACGTGCGAAGAGCTCGAGGAGACCGTTGCAGTGGATTGCCGCGGGCCCAGCATAGCCGAGGGGTCGATTGCTGAGATCATTTCCTGGTGTTTTGCGCCCCTGCCCTCGCATCGGCCCTGTGCGGCATTGCTCGTGCAGGTGCTGGAGTTTAAAGCACGACAGATGGAATGAAGTCATGGGAAAATTGTGTGTTGTGACGTGCTGTGTGCCTGCAGTTGCAATCATGTCTTGTGCAAAATCGTTTCCCCGATCTAGCAAAGAGTCATGCTTTGGCCCTTAGGCCCCTGGTCCGCGTACTCGAGATGCTGCGACAGGCTGAGTCCACGACCGGCCTTGCTCCATGGGAAATCGAAGAGGACCCGTCTTCAGGGGGGCTTTGTTGTGGTGGGCCTTCAGGTTTGGGGTGCAGGCGCTTATCAGTTGGCGTCTTATTGTAAACCTGACAGGGTCTTCAGCTACCACTTAAGGACGTTCTATTTCACGGGCTGGGGCAGAGGCCTCGGCCCATGTTTCTTAGACGGACAACGCTGGAAGAGATAGAGGCGACATTGCATCGACGACCTTGACCTGGCAGGAGACCGAGGACGAGCGACAAGCGCGTTACGCGCGCGAGGCAGATGAGATGAAGCTCAAATGGGACGCAAGGCCAGGAGTGGCTTGAAGCTCGTAGCGGCGCAGCGCAGCCGAAGCATGCCAAAGCTAGCCGGTTTAGTGTGCACAGGCGTTTGGAGGAGAAGCACTCGGCGCAAAGGCGCCAGGCTTGGTCGCAGAAAGAGCAGGAGCGAGCCGGGAGCTCGGGGTGGCGTTTCGTCGAGGGCTTCAATGAAGCTTTTGAGCTCCTGTGCCCGGAGTTTTTGGGGCCGAGGCCTCCCTCTACGGGCCGCGGGATCCGATCATGGAGGCCTACGAGGCCGGGGGCTTCTGGAAATCCTCCGGATCGGATCGGAGCGGGTTGTCCTTTGGGATCTTTTTTCATTTCCCCTGTACTGTTTTGTCGAGAGCCATACTAGTGAATAATTTTCAAAGGGCTTAAAGGACAACTCAGCGGATCTCACTCCAGGCTCGGATGTACGAGGAGGCCCGAGTCATCGAGATTAGACGGCGGCAGCGGGAGGTCTACGAGCGCATCAAGGTGCTCTTCCAAAGAAGGGTCTGGGTTCCTGTCCTGCAATTTGTACCTCAAGAAGCATGCCCCTTGTGACACAAACAGGCAGCAGGTAGCTAGAACCTGATGATGCCTTTCCCTCCACCTGGTCGCAAAGTTTCGATGGCAGCCTGTTGCTCCTGCTCACGTTTTTGTGATTCTGCTTCGTAGCGAGCCCTACTCGCACAGCGTGCCATGGTCCAGCCTGACTTCTGGAGCCCTCAGAAGAAGCCAGGCCCACAAGGAGGGGAAGCCGCTGCCTCCGAAGGGCACTCCGTACGTCCGGGCCCCGAGCCTGCGGCGCTTTGTTGCCTGTTTCAACGGATCCTCTTCCGGCTGGGCCAGTGCTGATCCAGTACGGCAACCACGAAAAGGAGGGCTCCCGGCAACGAAACCTCCCCACGGCAAGAGAGGACCGGAGCCAAAAATCCTTACAGCTCCTCTCGATGTTTATGGCACCCAGACCCTTTCAACGGATCCGAACCCCAACCCCAACCCACCCAAAGCCCCAAACCGCCTGAACTTCTGTTTGCACCCCCCGTTGGCCCAGTTGGTGCTGAAGCCTGCGCCGACAGAGCCACCGAAGCCTGAAGAGTTTGACGTCTCGGGCCACTACAAGCCCGAGGAGGTGCCGAAGCTTAGGGCAGGGTTTAGGGTTTAGGGAGGTTTAGGCTTTAGGGGGCCTGGGGAATTTGATGCGGGACTTTGAAAGTCATATGCCCATTGGGCTCTTCAAGGTTTAGAGGTAAAGGTTTAGGGACTTGGTGTTTCGGGGCTCAAGGTTTTTAGCATTGAAGGGCCTTGGGGTGTTTGGGATTAAGGTGAGGACTTTAGGGTTTAGGGCTTCTGGTTCAGGGGAGTTAGGTTTCATGCGGGACTTTTCAGGGTTTGTGCTAGGGGTCTCGGGGGGAAAGCTCTGAGAGGTTTGATGTTGGTAGGATGCAGCTTTTTCGGGCTAAGGCTACATCCAAAACCCGAACGCCCAAAACTTGTGAACCCTGGACTTGGAAGGTGTTTTCTGCAGTCCTGTCATAGCAGTCCGACGTCCTATTCTACCGCGGGACCATAACTACCCCTCCAAGAACCCATAACGAACCTGTAAAGTCATATTATCCAATCATACGCGAAACCCCAAACCCACAGATAGCTGTCCTGGTCAGGACATCGAGGCAAGAAAGTACAAAGCACCCGACTCCTATGCTGGGTGGCCCAGTGTGCTCTCATGCTTCCGGAGGCCTTTGGGGCCCTTGGCATTGTCAATTTGGGGCTGGGGGTGTAGTGTTCGATGCGGGGGCTCGAACCCATAACCCAAAGCCTGAACTCTCGCTCCAAGAAGACGAGGTGTCGCCCACCGGCCCGGCCCCACCGCCCCGGCACCAGCGCGGAAACCCGCGGGCGGCGGGGCACTCGGATGGGCTTCAGGGCCATGGGGGAGGGACTTTGGTATGGTGTCTATGGTTGATGGGGAGGGGTTAACTGGGTTGTGTTGAGGCGGATTTCAAAGGCTCTGAAGCACAGACGACTTGAGCGCCAAGCTCGTCACCTTCAGACGCTACAAGCCGAGAAGGCCAGCAGCTCAAACGTTCAAGGCTTCCGGGTGTTCAGCTGTGAGCAGGTTGTTCTCAAGTGAGGCCCAGTCGAACCACCAGTCTCACTTACCTACGAGCCATGAACCCGACCAGCATGCGTGCATGAGGTCCTTCGGCCCTGCGGTGGACTCTTCATCTAAGTGCCTGCCCGGCAGATCCAAACCCTTCTCCACCCCTCGAGCAGCTGGACCCAAGGCGTGGGAGACGCCGCAGTATGCCCCGGTTCGCCCGGGAGGGCCTCCGCCAGAAACCCAAGAGGAGACAGGGTCGCAGAGACTTGATGACTTTGTTGCCTGCGACGCTTTGACTTCTTGGACCGTCAGTCTTCCCTAAGCCCTTAACCCCACTCCCTAAAACCAGAACCGTTGCATTTTCCATTCGGACCCTCGCCGCTAGCCGCTAGCCATGCTAGCCGCGAGCCTTGCGAACTCAAAGTCCGATCCGCAACTGCTAACTCCGAGGCCTTCAGACCCCAATAGACTAGACCTTTCACCCTTGAGCCTGAATGTCGCCTTGTGCTGCCGTGCTGCTGCCTGGCGATGTTTTTTTTTCACTGTTTTTGTTCGAAATCTGGGAGAGTATGCTTGACCAGTTGGCTCCAGGTCGACTCAACGTCCACCACCACTGCGACGATGAGATGACGATGACAACGACTGCTAGTCCTATGCTGCTGCTCGTGATGTCGTTGCTGCTGCTATTGCTGCCGCTGGCTGTTGCTGCTGCGAACTGTGACGACCACCACCACCAACAACGACAACAGCGACGACACAACGACAGCAACAATATGACTTACAGAAGTCGTGGGTCCGCCAGAAAGTCCAAAAGCCCGAGGGACTCGCGAGCCCCGGACCCATCAACCATGCACCGCCGCATCGAGGCCTAGACAGTGGCCCGAGCCGGGATCCCTGCCTGCGGACACCGCCGGGGCTCCCGGGCACTCAGCAAGTGTTAGGCTGCTAGGTGCTTTAACGTGAGAGAGCTCCGACTGCAGTTGTTGATTTTTCGTTTTCTGTGAGGCTCAATCTTTTGTAGTAGTTGCACAAGCTTGTTTTCGGGGGGAGCCTGGAGCTTCAGCCCTCGAGGTGCCGACGGTGAGGGCAAAGATCGAGAACGAACGGGCCCAGGGCCCCAGATCGAACTTTGCGGCCTCTAGGAGTTTGGTCTTCAAGGTTGCACCCTTTCTTCGGGGCCCAGCACGTCAGGATTAGGGGTTCAACGCCAGAGAAACATCCGTGTGTGATAGGTTTTCGCAACATCTGCCGAAAGAACAACTGCTTGTCAGCGGCTCTCGCGTGCTCCAACAGCCTGTTGTCGACAGACATCCACCAGCTTGCGTTGGATGCAGAGCCCGCTGGGTTCCGGCTTCTCTCAGCTCATTTGATTTCCGTAGCGACGCCACAACCAGCACCCAATCGCGGGTGCCTTGGCCATAGTTCACGGAAGGTGCACAAAGAGGCACACGGCCCGAGCGAAGCCCAGCCAGAGTGGCAGAACGACCAGGAGCATCCAATTCAGGTCCTCACAAAAGCAGCCCTACATGCCTGCATCATGTTTCAATCGGATTTGGCAAGTATTCGAGTTGGTAGGGAAACATGAAGGCATGGAATCACAGTCGCAGGGCCTAATGCAGCCTAACCTTGCACGGAACAGCTTCTGGTTGCAAGTCCGTAGATGTCAGGAAAGCACAGCTAACCCCTCCGTGAATCCCTCAACCCGAAGCACCACACGTCAAGCTAGAGGCCCATAGTTCTTTTTTCCAACTGCACGTTTCCCCTCGTACAGCCCAAGATCCCACGTGTGATTGCCGGCAGGCGAACCGCAAGTCTCGGCGCCAGCGGATGCTTGAGGAGCTCATGAGTTTTCTGGGGGACTTTGAAGAGACGTCCGTTACAGGAGTCGAGGTCGTAATCCCGAGGTTCGAAGCCGGGAGGTCGGGGCGAGAGAACCCCCGATCGGGGATACATGCCTGCGCTTTGACTCTGTTCTTTCGGGGTGGCTCGATGTTGCAACTGAGCACAGAACCTACCTAAACCTCGAAGTTCTCACCCCAAGCCTTGTCAACCCTTGAGACTCTGAGACCTGGACCATGATGAACCCTGAAATTCCAACCCCAAACCTGAAGCTCGCAAAGGAGCAGGAGAGGATGGAGCGAGGCGAGGTCGTCCAGGCGGGTCTTTTCTGGTCTCTCTCGCGGCCGTGCCTCAAGAGAGTCAGGGGCAAGATGGGGGCCTCGAGAATTGGAATAGGGCTTTGGTGTATATTCTAGATTCTAGTTTTAATTTTGTGTAAATACAAGCGGCTAATTATACGGGGATACTAATATGAGAACATTGTGACTATTAGCATAGCAAGTGTTGTTCTGCCACTTCGGTCGGGGGTCTGGACACGTTGCGTGTAGAGAAGACAATGAAGGCAGGTTTGAGATCCGCTGCCCCAGGAGGAGGAAGAGGACGAAGATGAAGCCGAAGAGGAGGAGGCAGGGTGCTGTGATCGGAGCTGTCACCGTTCAGTGTGCCAAGCCCCCGGGCGCGCAAAGCTCCAACACGAAAGCTGAACCTCCCAATAGGCCGACCTAAACCCCTACACCCCTTAACCCTAAACCACTAAACCACTAAACCCTAAACCCAATAAGCCACATAAGCCGTGGCAAGCGGTGAGGAAGAGGTGGAGGAGGCCGAAGAGGTCGCTGAGGCCGAGGAGGTCGTGGACGTTGCTGCTGAGGCTGGGTGCGTTAAGGTTTAGGGTTCAGTGGTTTAGGGTTTAGAGGTTTAGGGTTTAGGGGTTTAGGGTTTGTGGTTTAGGGTTTAGGGAGTTCATAGAAGACCTTAGAAGAGGGTTCAATAGGGGAGGAGTCAATACGTACCGTAACTGAAACAGAGGCACCAGTTTCCACAGCGTGTGTAATATTATGATCAGTCTTCCCGTTTAGGGTGTTAAAGCTCGTGTACAGCATGGCGGCACAACTATCCCCGGAAACAAGTCGAACAATTCGTTGTGATTTGCAACCCCTGAATCCTGAACCCTCAAGTTGCATTTGTCTTTCGACGCTCTGACTGCTTGCAGTATGTGTGCGGACTTTTGTTAGGCGCCGCCATCGAATCTGCCGTCGGCCGAAGAAGCGAAAGCAATGTGCAAGCCCCAGTCCGCAGCTCCCCTGGGCACAATCGCGTTGACCACGAATACGTAAAAAAGCCTACTGTTGATGGGGCAAGATCCTGCACCACCTGGCTTGGCTGTGCAAAGCACGGCAGTGGAAGTGGTCGTGGTCACGGCGTCATCAAAGTGGCGGTGATAGTGGTGGTCGTCGTCGAGGACTTGGTCGTCGTCGTCGTAGCAGTAGCCGTAGCCGTACAACAGCAGTAGCGGTGGTACTGGTAGTGACAGTGGGTAGTGGATAGAGGTAGAGGGTAGTGGTGAGGGTAGTGGTAGTGTCGGTAGCAGTGGTCGTAGTTGTAGTTGTGGAAATTGTGGTAGTTGTGGTCGTTGTAGCAGTGGCAATCGCCGTCGCAATCGGAGTAGGAACAGAAGTAGGAGCAGGATTCGGAGTCGGGAGTAGGGTAGGGCGTATGGCCGGCAGTAGGGTGTAGGGAGCAGGGAGTGGGGAGTAGCAGGCAGGGAGTAGAGAGTAGGAACTAAGTAGTAGTAGTAGTCGTCGTCGTAGTAGTAGTAGTAGTAGCAGTAGTGGTAGTAGTAGTAGTAGTAGCAGTAGCAGTAGCAGTAGCAGTAGTAGTAGTAGTAGTAGTAGAAGTAGTAGTAGTAGTAGTAGCAGCAGCAGCAGCAGTAGCAGTAGCAGTAGCAGTAGCAGTAGCAGTAGCAGTAGCAGTAGCAGTAGCAGTAGCAGTAGTAGTAGTAGTAGTAGTAGTAGTAGTAGTAGTAGTAGTAGTAGTAGTCGTGGTGGTGGTGGTGGTAGTGGTGGTAGTAGTGGTAGTAGTAGTAGTGGTAGTAGTAGTAGTAGTAGTAGTAGTAGTAGTGGTAGTAGCAGTAGCAGTAGCGGTAGCAGCAGCAGCAGCAGCAGTAGCAGTAGCAGCAGCAGTAGCAGTAGCAGTAGCAGTAGCAGTAGTAGTAGTAGTAGTAGTAGTAGTAGTAGTAGTAGTGATAGTTGCAAGAGTAGTAGTAGCAGCAGCAGTAGTAGTAGTGACACATGTACAAGCAGCCAGAAATACAACAAAAGGATGCTGTGATCTAGGGCTCGTGAGTGTGACTCTGTTGGTAACTTCCCTTGTGGGTCGATGTAGCTCCCAAGCCCTCTGCCTCAAGCTTAGCCTTCAGCCCGATTTGGGGTTGAGAAGACGGCCATCCGCGAGCCAGATGGACCAGAGCCTTGAGCAAAGGAACCTCTAGACTCTATCTAGTAATTAGTGCATTGGCCTTTTGGTATATGAATGTAGTAGTCTATTTGTATTATATATGCTTATATATTGTAGTATATTAGTATACTAGTACTTCTCACAAGTGAGGACTGTGCCGAAGCTGAAAGAAGCGCTGAAAGACGCTGGACTGCCGGTCACCGGCCGCAAGGCCCATGTCCGATGTCGCCGCTGAAGGGAGTGTGGAGTGGTCGAGGGACACATCGTTTTTCTGTACAGAATCATAATCTACCAAAAACCCTAAACCCTTATGGGGCTTTCTTGATTAGAAAAGGGTCATCTTTGCGTCTGGCATCTTGTCGAACAGCCATGTCATGGACTTCATTCCTCGACCCAGCTCCAGACACCACTGCTCAACCTATTGTCCTTTGCAGAACTTGTGCATCTTCAATGAATCAATCTCAGATAACCTCAGTGTAGGTTTCACAACAGTCGACTCGGAGTTTGAGTGCAGTTGCTACTGCTGCGGTTGGGGTTGTCGTCCTCCTCCTCCTCTTCCTCCTCGTCCCTCATCTTCCCAGTTCTGTTATCATCAAATTGCTGGAATCCTAAACCCTAAACCCGTGGGATGTTCCCTTCCGTTGCAAACGGGAGGCAGAGCTGCTGGAGCGGCTTTTGGAAGCCATCGATGGGAAGTGAGGGGCGTAGTGTAGCGCGAGCTCTGTTCGATTCAGAGGCAAGCAGGTTGCAACACTGGCTCCCAAGTTCAACCGTCTCAGATAGACATCAGATACTCCCTTCAAGTCAGGATATGGAGGTTGGCAGCAGTACCATGCATCAACCACATGCGGCATGGTTGCTGATACAGCTTCTTGTGGTGCCAAAGATGGAAAGATGCGTGGAGGTCTTTAGTTCATGCGGTTCTTGCATGCAATAGCCAAGAACCGGCTGCACCGTCAGTTTCTGCTTCTGTTCTGACTCGTACTGCAGCATGAGCCGGTTGTGGTAAAATTCTCTCCAGCTGTACGGTCAAGGCGTTGACACTTTGCAGCTTGACCCATGTCCCAACCTGGTATGGCAAAGGCAGGGTTTGAGATTGCTAGGCTTTTCGAAGGGAGCAGTTACGCTGCCATGCCTTCGACTCCTCAGCGTTGCAGCAGGCGGCACAAGTTGGGATGCTTGTCTGTCCAAGAAGAAGAGTCAACGATGGCAGATGCATGGAAGAAGCATGAGAACGCGTGTCATGTTCAGTGCTCAAGCTGCATGCATGTCAAGGCGTATCCAGTTCCTTGACCGCGGTGCAGCCACGATCGTCATAGCGACCACAAACTTCACTGTCGTCCCTGCGCGAGCCACAAGACTCGCATTTCTTCTTGTTCCCTTCTCTGGAAGCGCAACTTGTAGCGTGCCACGCAGTAGGTCCTGGCTACACTGCCACAGTGAAACCATGCCACATCAGCCAGCATTGCAAACCCTTGTCATTCATAATCTTGTCCATGCAAGCAATCCTTCCACGGGATGTCGAGACACATTCTGCAGCACGCTGTGTCTGTCGTTTCATTCGAGTGTGTGATTTTTACTGCAAGGATTTGGAAATACTTCACGGAACCGTTCCTGGCGTCGGACCCCGTCTAAGCCGAGAACCTCAAAGCCCAAAATAATGACCCTCAACACTGTAAACACGAAACCCGAAAGCCTTGAGCTAAAAACTTGCAAACCCTGCTGGCAGAAGACGAAGCCAGTCATGGTGGGACGGTCCTTTTGTGTGCTTCAGATGCCAGGTCAGCTCCCGTAGCCGATGGCATCATCAATCTCGACCCGTCCGGCTCGCTTGCTTACAGGTTCTTCGGGGTTTGCGCAATCGAAATTTAGGGTTTAGGCTATGGTTTCGGATTCAATTTTCCGAAACGCACGGAGTGGGGTCAGCCCGCAAAAGCCTTGACATGGCCTGCCTCAGCCTAGCAGGGTGATCCACTGCCCCGTCGGATTGATGGTTTAAGTCCACTCCAGAGCCTGCTTTCTGCATGGTTGCAGAGGCAAGCCGAGTTGGCGGACTGAAAGATGTGTCACTTGATCTTGCCATGTTCCCCTGCAGTACTTCCTGAATAGCCGTTACATCATCTCAAACTCAGCGCGTAAATCGCATCCGGTTTGCCCGGAATGGCGCACGGCACAGCGAAGCGGCTTTGCCTGTTGCTTGGCTGACCATTCGAGAACGATTTTTTGACGTTGCTTCCCATATGCAAGAGGCTTGAAGCCTAGTCCAGGTTGGGGCTTTGGTACTTCTTCGCCGGACCTTCCAGCGTGAGATCTTCAAGTTCGACGTCCTTTGTTCGTCCATGGAACTTGGCATCGCAGCTGTCGCGGAAGCCTTTGTTGCAGCGCGGCCAAGGTCCTCCGGGGATGGAGACCTTTTCCAATGCAGTTGCTGGCCACTTGGCTAACAAGTTCAGCGAAGAACTTGTGAAACGGCTGCAGGAGTTCCACGGCTTTTTCACCACAGGGCTAGATGCGAACACGGACGTGAAGGACCGCAAGTTCAAGCTGCGTTTTCATCCGGACCCCGGCCATCCGGATGGACACTTGAAACACATGTACTGGAAGCCATCCAAATACAGCCTGAGAACGGTTTTCGAGAAACTGGACTGGAGCATCACGAGTTTTGACATGAATTGGATGAACGATGAAGGGGAAGAGTTTGTTCTTAGCTCCGAAGACGATGTTGACGATCTTTTGACCGAGAGCTCGAACCAGACGCTGGTCATCGATGTCAAGTTGAAGCAGCCTTCGGTGATGGAGAAAGTTAAGGAAAGTGCTACACAATTCGCCATGTCCCTTGTGCAAAAAGCGAAGCACTGCATCTGTGGTGGCGGCCAAATCGAGCAAAAACATGTGACGATGGCAGAGGAAGAGTTGAAGGACGATACAGGTGCAGTGGCCAAAATGGAGACTTACCATAATGCGCTGAGTCAGGAGGCCTTCGACATCGGCCAATTCTCAACGCAAGTTCCTCGTATCGCTGCCAAACTCAATATGTCTGATGAAGAGGCAGGGGTGCTTGCGATGGCCGAGTTTGTTGACCAACAGGCCAGTCATGAAATGAAAACCTGCTACGACAACCAGGGCAACATCGTAAAGCACCTCACTAGCTGGCGGACCATCCGCACTTGCTCGACGGGTGGCGGAGAGCCAGATAAGATCCATTTCGTGTATGGCAATTTCGCACTAAAGGCCAAGGTTCCGGAGGAAGGGCTGGCGACGGACATGACAATGAAGTTGGAGCGCTATGTTCAGCTTAGGGCCAAGCTTGAGTGGCGGCAGCAGTTTGAAGAGGATGCGCAGCATGTACCCCTTTTCAGCCAAAGCCCCTGTCCCCTTCCACCAGCAACTCCGAGCCCTCCGACCGTGGATGAACCCGATGTTGTTGAGCAGGAAGTGTTGGATGCATGACGCAGTCGCAAAACCGCAAGAGACGTGCTCCGCAAGCTTTGTGGTACGAGGCAGGGGCTGCGTTTTCGTTCCGCGCCTAGGCTGGCCACAGCAGCCGTTTGTTCCATCCAGATCGCGCCCATGCATGCAAAAGAGCCGCGAGGCAGATCATTGCAGCCAACGTATTAGGGTAACTCTGACAGTCCAAACACACGAAGCTCTCCGCGCCCTTCCCACGCGATGACCTAAACCTGCACCGCCACATAGACACGCCAGGCTGGGCATGTGAGTTCAAGCGCCTGCCCATGCGAAGGACGTCGCCCGACTCTTACGTTGGGTTGCCCAGGTTGCTCGTGGATTCGGTGGTTGGTTTTGGGGCTCGGGCAGTTGATCCCGGTTCATGGAGATGCTATGTGTGCTGTTTTTTGTAAGTGCCTTTTTTATTCGGGCATTAAAGAGGCTTACGTGCATATGGTTTTGGACGGTGTTTGTGTTTACGATCTTCGCGATGGGATTGCTGGACATCCTCCTCGGATTTCGGAGACGGAATGTTCGGGTTCGGGTTTGTGCGGGCTTTAGGGCTTTGAGTTTTTCGGTGTCAGCTCCGCGGGGCTCCGAAACCAAATTGAGGAGACTGAGACTGTTGGGATGAGATTTCCGGTTGTATTGTCTACGATATGACGTGGGGACCGTCAGGGCACAGCATTGGCGCCGCGTTCGAGCGATCGTAAGCATTAAACCCCCCAAAAAAACACAGAACCTTAGGTCAAACCCTCAACGTTGAACCCTGAACCCTGAGCCCGTTTGACTCCCCAGACTAGAGTCTTACGATTGCTCTCTGATCTGGTAGGGAAGATCTGAGCACCCATCTGCTCATGAACTCGGTTTCGGGTGTCTGGGTGGTGCTAAAGGTATTTTGTGTTAGGTTTTACGGGCAGGGCTCAGGAGTTCAAGGTTTTGGATCTTGTGGGGTTTAGGGTTCAGAATTCAGGGCTCCACGAGGTTTAGCTGAGTGATTGGGGGGCCGGGGGGGAGGGGGGGGGGGGTAGGCCATAACAGCAACTCTGGCAGCAACAATATTGCGGCGGACACTGCCAAAAGTTGAGATCCCGATGCAGGAAATAGATGATGATCATCATCAGAACCACAATGCCCTTCATCATTTCTGCCCCAAAGAAGCGACTAAGGCTGAGATTGTGCAATTTGCTCCTCAAACTTCGAACACACATTCCTTTCAGCTCTGCACACGGGGATCGTCTGTCAGCTGTAGGTGTCTGCGCTGCGGTCTCTTTTTGCAGGCTAGCTGGCGTCGTCCTAGATTGCTGCAGGTCATGCGCTTGCCTTGCTCCTTAGGGTGGAGGTTTATGGATTTAGGTATTCATGCTTCGCATGAGCCGTTTGCTGCTGCTACTTCCATTCGTTGTAGGCAGTGCAAGCGCAGCCAACATGTCCAAGGCGAACTGCTGCAGAGGACGCAGGTAGGGTTGGAGTTTTCTTGGCACCGCCATGTCTGTTGTTGGAAAAACCCATTTCTGCCATTATGATCCTCATCGCCCGTTCTTCAAGAAGTGTGTGCGGCTCCCAATCCAAGGCTGTTTCTTTGGAGTCAAGATCCCGCCAAGGCGCGAAACCAGCAGTTCATTCTTCTGCCAGGTTTTGGTAAGTAATAGGGGAATGGAACTTTTAATAGTCCCTTGTCGCAGTCCATAAAACCTATTTCCCATTTCGTACTAAGAACCCGGGAGTCTTTTGTCCTTTCCTGCTTTGTTGGCATGCCAAAGGTTTCGTCGATCCAAACTTTTTTGCATCAGACGGTTCCAGATCGTATGGCTCGGGTGGCGGCTGCATGCCGGTCCAGTCTTGTTTTCTTTCATGAGCGTTTGGACTGAGCACTCGTTGCCGAAGGAGAAGGCAAAGGTGCTAGTTAACACAAAGACTGTTGAGATCGCACACCCTGGACGATGGCAACTCCTAGGTACCAGGGTTCTGAGGCAAGGGGAAAGCCAAGTCGGCCAGATTCCTTTATACTATAGTGTACAGTTTGTGTTGTACTATACCATATAATGCAATATCAGACGGTATTGTGCTGTCAGGGTTTCGTGTTTAACGATTGAAGGCTTAGGGTGGAGGGAGGCTTTCAGGTTTGTGCACCGGAAAACCCAAAGCTTAGAGCCAAGAATCTGAAATCCGAAACCCACCCGCAGGACTGAAAGATGTGTCACTTGATCTTGCCATGTTCCCCTGCAGTACTTCCTGAATAGCCGTTACATCATCTCAAACTCAGCGGGTAAATCGCATCCGGTTTGCCCGGAATGGCGCACGGCACAGCGAAGCGGCTTTGCCTGTTGCTTGGTTGACCATTCGAGAACGATGTTTTGACGTTGCTTCCCATATGCATTCCAAGAGGCTTGAAGCCTAGTCCAGGTTGGGGCTTTGCTACTTCTTCGCCGGACCTTCCAGCGTGAGATCTTCAAGTTCGACGTCCTTTGTTCGTCCATGGAACTTGGCATCGCAGCTGTCGCAGAAGCCTTTGTTGCAGCGCGGCCAAGGTCCTCCGGGGATGGAGACCTTTTCCAATGCAGTTGCTGGCCACTTGGCTAACAAGTTCAGCGAAGAACTTGTGAAACGGCTGCAGGAGTTCCACGGCTTTTTCACCACAGGGCTAGATGCGAACACGGACGTGAAGGACCGCAAGTTCAAGCTGCGTTTTCATCCGGACCCCGGCCATCCGGATGGACACTTGAAACACATGGATTGGAAGCCATCCAAATACAGCCTGAGAACGGTTTTCGAGAAACTGGACTGGAGCATCACGAGTTTTGACATGAATTGGATGAACGATGAAGGGGAAGAGTTTGTTCTTAGCTCCGAAGACGATGTTGACGATCTTTTGACCGAGAGCACGAACCAGACGCTGGTCATCGATGTCAAGTTGAAGCAGCCTTCGGTGATGGAGAAAGTTCAGGAAAGTGCTACACAATTCGCCATGTCCCTTGTGCAAAAAGCGAAGCAAGGCCAACTCGAGCAAAAACATGTGACGATGGCAGAGGAAGAGTTGAAGGACGATACAGGTGCAGTGGCCAAAATGGAGACTTACCATCCTCCGACCGTGGATGAACCCGATGTTGTTGAGCAGGAAGTGTTGGATGCATGACAATTCGACTGCGAAGTCGCAAAACCGCAAGAGACGTGCTCCGCAAGCTTTGTGGTACGAGGCAGGGGCTGCGTTTTCGTTCCGCGCCTAGGCTGGCCACAGCAGCCGTTCGTTCCATCCAGATCGCGCCCATGCATGCAAAAGAGCCGCGAGGCAGATCAGAGCAGCCAACGTATTAGGGTAACTCTGACAGTGCAAACACACGAAGCTCTCCGCGCCCTTCCCACGCGATGACCTAAACCTGCACCGCCACATAGACACGCCAGGCTGGGCATGTGAGTTCAAGGGCCTGCCCATGCGAAGGACGTCGCCCGACTCTTACGTTGGGTTGCCCAGGTTGCTCGTGGATTCGGTGGTTGGTTTTGGGGCTCGGGCAGTTGATCCCGGTTCATGGAGATGCTATGTGTGCTGTTTTTTGTAAGTGCCTTTTTTATTCGGGCATTAAAGAGGCTTACGTGCATATGGTTTTGGACGGTGTTTGTGTTTACGATCTTCGCGATGGGATTGCTGGACATCCTCCTCGGATTTCGGAGACGGAATGTTCGGGTTCGGGTTTGTGCGGGCTTTAGGGCTTTGAGTTTTTCGGTGTCAGCTCCGCGGGGCTCCGAAACCAAATTGAGGAGACTGAGACTGTTGGGATGAGATTTCCGGTTGTATTGTCTACGATATGACGTGGGGACCGTCAGGGCACAGCATTGGCGCCGCGTTCGAGCGATCGCAAGCATTAAACCCCCCAAAAAAACACAGAACCTTAGGTCAAACCCTCAACGTTGAACCCTGAACCCTGAGCCCGTTTGACTCCCCAGACTAGAGTCTTACGATTGCTCTCTGATCTGGTAGGGAAGATCTGAGCACCCATCTGCTCATGAACTCGGTTTCGGGTGTCTGGGTGGTGCTAAAGGTATTTTGTGTTAGGTTTTACGGGCAGGGCTCAGGAGTTAAAAGTTTTGGATCTTGTGGGGTTTAGGGTTCAGAATTCAGGGCTTCACGAGGTTTAGCTGAGTGATTGGGGGGCCGGGGGGGAGGGGGGGGGGTTGGCCATAACAGCAACTCGGGCAGCAACAATATTGCGGCGGAAACTGCCAAAAGTTGAGATCCCGATGCAGGAAATAGATGATGACCATCATCAGAACCACAATGCCCTTCATCATTTCTGCCCCAAAGAAGCGACTAAGACTGAGATTGTGCAATTTGCTCCTCAAACTTCGAACACACATTCCTTTCAGCTCTGCACACGGGGATCGTCTGTCAGCTGTACGTGTCTGCGCTGCGGTCTCTTTTTGCAGGCTAGCTGGCGTCGTCCTAGATTGCTGCAGGTCATGCGCTTGCCTTGCTCCTTGGGGTGGAGGTTTCTGGATTTAGGTATTCATGCTTCGCATGAGCCGTTTGTTGATGCTACTTCCATTCGTTGTAGGCAGTGCAAGCGCAGCCAACATGTCCAAGGCTTCATCAGTCTGAACAAGTTTCAGAACTGCTGCAGAGGACGCAGGTAGGCTTGGAGTTTTCTTGGCACCGCCATGTCTGTTGTTGGAAAAAACCATTTCTGCCATTATGATCCTCATCGCCCGTTCTTCAAGAAGTGTGTGCGGCTCCCAATCCAAGGCTGTTTCTTGGGAGTCAAGATCCCGCCAAGGCGCGAAACCAGCAGTTCATTCTTCTGCCAGGTTTTGGTAAGTAATAGGGGAATGGAACTTATAATAGTCCCTTGTCGCAGTCCATAAAACCCATTTCCCATGTCCTACTAAGAACCCGGGAGTCTTTTGTCCTTTCCTGCTCTGTTGGCATGCCAAAGGCACCTCGACAGATCAAAGGTTTTCGTCGATCCGAACTTTTTTGCATCAGACGGTTCCAGATCGTATGGCTCGGGTGGCGGCTGCATGCCGGTCCAGTCTTGTTTTCTTTCATGAGCGTTTGGACTGAGCACTCGTCGCCGAAGAAGAAGGCAAAGGTGCTAGTTAACACAAAGAATGTTGAGATCGCACACCCTGGACGATGGCAACTCCTAGGTAACAGGGTTCTGAGGCAAGGGGAAAGCCAAGTCGGCCAGATTCCTTTATACTATAGTGTACAGTTTGTGTTGTACTATACCATATAATGCAATATCAGACGGTATTGTGCTGTCAGGGTTTCGGGTTTAACGATTGAAGGCTTAGGGTGGAGGGAGAGATTCAGGTTTGTGCACCGGAAAACCCAAAGCTTGGAGCCAAGAATCTGAAATCCGAAACCCACCCGCACCATTCACAAACTCCGAACAGAACAGAGCTGCCTGAATCCAAATCTGTAGACAACCAACTCCGAAACCAGCAGTTTGACCCTTGGATCGGAAATTACCGAAAAAGGTTTTGAACTTCAATCTTTCAGAACTACCCCTCAGCCGGCGTACTGGTACAAGCGTGTCAACAGCAAGAGCCAGGATGGACGACGATTTGCCGGACGACTTCCAGGAATCCGTGGGCTCGGATTGGAAGCTTGAGTTGTCTTTATCCTTGGTCTCCTTGTTGACCTGAAAGCCTTCGCAGGGTAAAGGGACTAAAACCTTTCCCCCCTTCCCTTGGGCACAGGGTTTAGGAGCTTCCGGGTTGTTGGTCTCGATTTGGTTTAGGGCCGTAGGCCGTAGGGATTACGTTAGGATGACTTGGACATGCTCGGACAAGTCATGTTCTGCGTGGAATGGTACATCAAAGGGGGCCTTGACAAAAAGAAGACGCTTGCCTCCGTCCTCGCCTGTTGTTGTTGTTGTTGCTGCTGCTGCCCCTGTGATGCATTATTGGCCTTATTCTTGATGCCAGTGCGTCCAATAAAGTTATCATCAACATCAGTGTTGCTAGCTTTTTTGTAATCTCCATATTCGTGTCTTCAGGGTTGTCGCGGCTTTCGTGCGCTCTTTACCACAGTAGTGTCTGAAATTGAGATGCTTCGGATTGAGGGGTCCGAACTGTGTTAGTGCTCGCTGCTTTCACAGCTGTGTACCTCCTCAGCTCGGGCTGCTGCTTCTGCTGCTGCTGAGAACTATCTGAAAGAAGCCACGAGTCGGGCTCGTTGGGGGAAACTTTTGCCGGTTTGCAGCTGTCCATCAGGGCAACCATCTAGAACGTCACAGCACCTGCCTCAAGCTTCCGGAAGGGAGACGTTGATCTGAATACTCCTGCGATATACCTCCCTCGTGGATGCCTCAACCTGCATGCCTAAAACTAGATCCTAAGCCTCTGGCTGGGAGGAGCACTTCTCCAGCGAGACGCAGGACCAGCCGCCTGAAAGTTTCTCGGGTTCCGGGAGGTCTTACCGGAGTTTTGCGCATTGGGGACCTTCTAAGTTCTGGGGTACCCGTGGAACCTGAAACGGATGTTGGGGGAGCCTTGCATGCAGCCGACACGACGAGCACGAGTGGATCCAGCGTCTGGCTCGTCATAAGGACTCAATACTTAGGACCCCTAAGCGCTACTGTGTTGGGAGACGGATTTCGGGCTGCAGGACACCCCCTGCAAGCCCTCCGTTCCAGAAAAAAAGACCCTGAATGAACTACAGTTAGAAAATTCGAGACAGAAAAGCCACGCAGCTCGACCTCGACCCTGCTGTAAACCCTGAACCTTACACCCTAGAGTGCGACGCAGTCAGCCGAGCGGGTCTGAACAAAACCTTACACCCTCAGCCTTGCTCCGCTCACGGCTTCAACCCCGAGGCTGATGCACGGCACGCACGTTGCGTCAGTGGTCGCCACACAGCCACCGGGCTGGTCTTTCGATGCGTAAGACTAAGAATAGGAATAGGGGGTTTAGGGAAATTTTGGGGTTGTCTGCGGTCTGTCTGTCAACCTGTTCAAGCCTTCGCACGGGCTTTTACGCTTTTCTGTGTTTGTTTTGTTTTTTTTGAAAAGGGGCCCTTGGATGTTTCGGGTTTTAGGCTTGAGGTTTGTGGGATTTCAGGCGTGTTTTGTAGGCGCGTAGCGGAGCTAGGTTTGGGAGTGTAAGATCTAGTATAGGGGCGTGGGCGTCCGTTATTTTTTTCGCTCAGGGTTTTGGAAATTAGACATTTAAGCCTTGGGTGTCTGCGAACAGAGGTTTGTTGAGTAAGGGTTTTCGGATGAGGCAGTTCTGGTATGCTGGGATTTTGGGATTTCGGGCCTGAGGGCTTAGGGCATCGAGCTTTGCTAGTCAACCGAGAGAGCTTTTTTGTTTGTGGTTCTGTGCTTCAGTGTGCATCGAGACAGTCTGAGCAGAGGGTTGGGAGTTAACGCTTTGGGGGTTTGGGACTAGTGCTTGTCTCTCATGCTGCGTTAATGCTCGAAGCTCAAGCCGAGAGTGTCGAGACACGGTGGCTCTGGTTTGGGAGTTTTTGAAGTCGCAGAACTCCTGTCGCGACAAGGAGTCCTATGCACCTCGATTCCCTATATAAGCATATGGCACAATATACCCCAAAGCCCTATCAAAACCTCTGAGACCGCTTAAAGGAGAGTGCCCAGGAAAAGCCTTTTGTGGCAGCTGGATGGCGAAACGTTTATTCCTATGGGCCACGAGGCAGCGCTGAAGGCTTCCTATCAAGTACAGTTTGGTAATAGTACATGTGCATAGAGACTATGCAGGGATACGAGATACTGTTGCTAATACTTCAGGCCTCTATGCCAATCCACGTCGGTGGACCTTGGTTATTTTGTAAACAAGGCCCGTTTTCCGGCGGTGTAAATGCTGTTGTGTAGGGGCTTGCTTCTGGGGCTAAGGTGCTGGATTCGGAATTTCGGGTCTTGTGTGTTTTGGGTTCAGGGTCTGCCTTTGGAGGCATGGCTTTTGAAGGTGATGTTGTGCAATTGTTCGACGCGTCTGGTTGATTCTGAGGTGGCTTGATGTCATGGAGAGTAGGATTGTTTAAACTTTAACCCTCCCCCTCTCCCTCAGATGAAAGCCCGAAACCCCCTCACACCCTTCACCCTTCAGAAGAGTACTTTGCGAAATCGTGAGCTGACAAGCACCTACATCTTAAGGCCCGCTGCAGCAGACACCAAAACTCCCGGAAGAGTCGAATCCCTGCAGCTGGATTCAAGCCTTGTACTTATCAGGGTAGTACGAGAATTCGAACCCCAGTAGAATCCGAAACCCGAGGCTGTTGTCTAGCGACTTTTTTATTTCAGTCGATGTTTCTCAGCCTCACCCTTAGACCAACCTCAAGCCCTAAATCAATAATGACGTGCATCCAAAAACCCTACCCTAACTCTTTGGGCCCATCTGTGTATGTGTCTATGTAGGTAAAACAAGTACTCGGTTTCTCGCTTCTTTTTCTTTCTTCTGCATGCCATGTTCGGCCACAGGTGGGCTGCGTGGTTGGATTACGATTATTGCCATGCTTATCGCCCTGCTCAGAAGTGAGCTTCCAAGTGCCGGTAAGGTTGTACCCCTCAGGGGTTTCTTTCAATGCCCCTTGACCTATATTCCCTGAGAGCGTACAACGTCTCGTGCCAGAACCATGAGCGAATGCAACTCCTTAATTGAGGGCCCCCCAGAGAAGAACCCCTCATTTGTGGAAACAACCATGTACCGTCTGAGCCCAGAAACCAAAGCCCTAACCGAACCTGTGCCACTTTGTCTGTGGCTTTTAACTGTCGGCTGACTCTAGGTTTTCGCAAACTCCCTCTGCCCGACAGGCAACTTTGCATCAGGTGGTGAAGGAGTTTGCTGACGAGCCGCGACTTGGTTGTAACGTTGTTTCGCTTGATGCCATGATTCGAACAACTGACTTAACTGAGAAGAAGACTCCACATCGGCATCGTCTGAGTGTTGTCTTATAGTGTTTTACTGGTAGTGCAGTGCCTTCCGAGGCGGGCTATGGACCCGCATGTCATGCGGAGAAAGAGCAATTGCATTAAAAAACCCAAACCACAGCCTTAAGTCATCTAGAGTCCAATCGGAAGCGCGGGTGGTGAGGACACTGACAGCAGTGGCAGGACAGTGGCCTGGCTCTCAGGATCCTCCTCTTCGGTTTCGGGGGACCCTAGGAGTGTTACAGGGTGTTTCAGTAGCGGTTTGGGTTTCGCTTTTTAAACAAAAGAGCTCGTGAAGCTCCGGAAATCAAGTCTTGGGGTTGGGGCTCACAGGCTTTGGCAGGGTCAAGCATGTTATTAAACTCCCAGCAGAAGTTAATTCGCACGTACTGTGCGGGTTCAACATCTCCGAAGTTATGATGCCAAAAATAAAGCATTGCAGACGAGCCAAATACCGGCGTTTCATATCTGGTGAGTCCCCAAACCGTGACTCACAGAAATTGCGGTGTAGGGCGATTTTGTCTGAATTCTTGCGAGCCATTACAAACATTGTCCGAACATGACCGAACCATCCTAAACCCTTAAACCCGTGGTCCTAAAACGTAACGGATCGTAGCGGCGCTGAGGTAGCAACTCCAAAAGCTTACAGCTTCGACCCCGACGAAGCTATAAGCCCCTTGAAACTCAATCAAAACAGAACATGCTTGCTTGCGAAAGCCTCCCAAACTCAAACCCGTATGTAGGGGTGAGCATATATATATATATATATGTGTATATATATATATATACACACATGTATGTGTGTGTATATCTTATCCACCCCAGGTACGTGGTTATGCAAACTAAGGTCCTTTTTGGTTCCCAAGCTTTAGCATGCTGTACTAGAAGGAAAATTCTATAGGGCTCCCCAAGAGGACAATGGCTTTAGAGTTCCGCATTTGGCTTCCAATCATATTCTGTAGGAGTGTGGAGTTATATACAGTCTTTTAAAGTTCCTATATAGCCATACTACTGAGGCCCCGACATACGACCTCCAAAAACCTTGTTAGAAAACATTGAAAAACCGCCGAAAGTCACGAGGACCTTTCAGAACGCAGCTCGCAGGTCCGCGAGGTCGTGGATTCTCCTGGCATGTGGCCCGGCACACATGAGCACGCTTCTTTTTGGAATGGAAAATGTTTGCATTACCTATGTCACATGTATGAGTGGCCGGTATACATCTCAATACATCGAAGGCGGCGGTCCACGTTGCTGATAAAATTTGTGCGATTCGCTGGTGTCGTCTCAATACCTTACTCTGACTCATACGTATGCGGATTGGTCGCGGAACGGGAAAGCCGAGTTCCATGAGTTCCGCGACGTGAGATGTCTGCATACGTGAGGCGTATATGAGAGCCTATATATTTCCGCCTTGACGAGATCGCTACGCTCGGTGGCGCCGACTTCACGTATACAAGAAATTATCGATCGTTATATCCAAAAGAAAGAATAATACGAAAATAAAACTAAACGATAAATGGGTCTGCACACTTCTATCAGCAATATCTAAGATATCTATGATGATTTATAGAATTCGACTCAAATAATATATCGCTTTTGAACTTATCGGGAAAATCTGGGTTATAAAAATTTGTAGAAACGATATTTCGATATTATCGGGATTATCGATTCGTGAAAGATCGATATATTAGATGATTCTTACGATCGATATTTTCGTTTCTTTTGGCAAGGGAGGAGGGGCGAGGGAATTGGGAGATATTCTAATATGAAAATATTATTTCTTTATTAATCGATCTATCTCGAGATTCTCCTTTTTTTTCTAGGCTCTACGAGTATTTCTTTTGAATATATATACTATCAAATATCTAGGATATGCGGAAAAAATAATTAGTATAAATATAATATTCTCTAATAAACCGGTGTCGTGCCGCTTGCGTGCATGATTTTGTGCGCACCCTGGTCTCCCTGGAATGCGGTCGTTTGCGGCATCTCTTCGTGAAAGCTCTTGTATGTCTGTCTCGAGCTACTAAAATCCTGGAAATTTTAGTACCGCGAGCACTTCTCTCCCGGCTCTAAAATCTCGGAGATTTTGGTAGCTTTAGGAAATCTCACGGTATTAAAATCATTCAAATTTTGGTAGTTTTAGGCTGAGATGCTCCCGATAATAAAATCTCGGAGGTTTTGGTACAGGCACCCATACCCCGCTTGGGAGTTGCATGTCCGCTTATACTTGCCTGTTTGGGAGTTCTATGTCTTCTTACACTTGCTCGATTTGCTGCGCACTTCTTCCGTTGGCTTCCGGCTCTTGCCACACACATGATTGAATATATTTCGATAGGTTTCGGGCGTCAATTCAGTCGAGCATGTTAATCTATATGCCGTCTAAGCCACGAGCCGAGCTAACTTTATGCTTGTTGTATGGCAGAATATGCGAACCATATATGAATCGGTTCTATTTCATCAAGATATGTTTCTTTATGATATTATATGAATGCACGTGGTCGTTATGTCCGCTTCGCTTCTTTGAAGGCTGGCCGAATATCTTCATGTTTGTTGTTCTTGGCCTATGATTCGTCCTGCAGGTCATTGGCGCGAGGATGCGACAAAATCATTCTCGCAAGGTCCTCGCCTTGGCCTTTTCATCGCAGACATTCGAATAAATATTTCAATAGGCTTAGCTGCAGTTCGTTGACGTGGATGCCCTATGTATCTCTTTCACGTGTCCGTGATGCTAATAGCATGCGTGTGCTGTTGGAAACCGGCGAAGGCCAAGGCTTCGTGATGTCTGCCGATGGCCGCGTTAAAGCTGCCTTCACTCAGAATATTGTTTGCCACGAAGTCCTGCGATATTGAGTGTTGCTGCACGTCCACAAGACTCTGCCGCCACCTTTCCTCGCTGCTGGAAGCAGCGGGTCCACTCTAGTTGATCTTGAATATATTGATTATATCGGAGATTTGCAAATTTAAAATAAAGATATTCAAAAGATATTAATTTATTCATTCTATCGCACGAAAATCGTCGACTATATCTTTTTCTTTCGGGGGATGGTAGAAAAAAAGATAGCACCAATAGTTCCAATAAAGCGATGCCACAACGAACACAATATCAAATTATTTTTACGATGCCTCGAACCAAGATATGATTAAAAAATCAGCATAAATGATAATATCGAATTTATCGTGAGGTCGGTCTGTCTCGAGATTGTCCTCCACGAGAAATTCGCTGTCATTCGTATATCGTCAAACGTCCAATATAGATATTGCGTCGATTTAGAATATGTCGATCGCATCGGAGATTTCTTTTCTTCGGATCAAGATATTCTATAGAAATTAATTCATTCATTATATCGCACGAAAATCGTCGACTACGTCTATTTACGTAGATAAGTCTGGATTTCAATTTCAATTATGTTTTGAAACTGATTCTAATACTTCATTGCGGGTTTTAGGGATTAGCTTCGAGAAATAATTAAAATCGATGTTAATACCTTCTCAATTTTTCTCTTGCCAATGACTTGAAATTAATTTTAATACCCTGGTCCAGAGGTTCTGAGTTCGGAAACACTTGGAATCGATTTTAATTGATTTGGCTATTGGGACCCCTGCGCAGGGTATTAAAATCGATTTTAATTGGTCCGCCTCGTGACAACACTTGGAATCGATTTTAATTGATTTGGCTATTGGGACCCCTGCACAGGGTATTAAAATCGATTTTAATTGGTCCGCCTCGTGACAACACTTGGAATCGATTTTAATTGATTTGGCATTGTGACCCCTGCACAGGGTATTAAAATCGATTTTAATTGATATGGACGCATTTGTACACCTGGATGACAGGACTTGGGACCGTTTAAAGCATTGAGGGGGCGATAGCAACCCTACGGTTTCGTGATCTAGGCTTTCGTACCCAGGTGCTATACTTAGAGGTTCATGGGACTTAGTAACTATGGTTATAAATAAGGTAACTAGACTTAAAATTGGTTGTAACCTCAGTTAAGGTACTTATAACTGTATTTATTAAGTCCCATGAACCCCCAAGTAAATCTTCAGGGCTTGGGGATTTGGGGTTTTGAGGGTTTACCTATAGCCCCAATGTAACCCGAAACCCTAAACCCTCGAGAGGGAAAAAACCCATAACCCTTGACCCTTAGCCTTTAACCCTTAACCCTTAACCCTTAACCCTAAACCCTAAATTCTAAGCCTAAACCCCAACCCCTAAACCCCAACCCCTTAAACCCTAAACCCGAGTAGGTTCAGGGTTTGTGAAGGTAGTTCCTTCAGAACTCAATTCGGGGCCTCGAAAAGGCCCAAGAAACCCTGCAAGAATGGTCAGATCTTTGGTGGCAAATCTGCAGTCTTCTGGCTTGGCAATTTTGTGTTTCGAACACAAACCCTAAACCCTAAACTGTCTACCGTCAGAGTGCTGCAAACCCGAAAGACCTGAACCCAAAGCCGTGAACCTGAAACCCAAGGACCGAGCTCCACGGACCTCACCCCTAGACCTTAAGCCCTCAACGCTCTACAGTACCCTCAGAGTCCTGCAAAGCCGAAAGACCTGAACCCAAAACCCTGCGTCCTAAACCCAACAAGGAGCCCTGTGAAGCCCGACAACCTGAAACCGACACCCACCCTACCCCCACAGACCTCAACCCAAACCTTAAACCCTAGACCGTCTACCCTCAGAGTGCCTCAAAGCCTGTAGACCTGAACCCACAGCTCTGTGAAACCCGAGGACCTCAACCCGAACTCTTCCCGAAACCCTGACCCGCTCTGGAAACCGTCCTCCAAGCAAAAAGTATTAGAATCGATTTTAATACCTCCCGGGCGGAGTGGCCGTCCATATGCATTAAAATCGATTTAAATACACCCGTGTGCCTGGTCAGGTCACCCTGGAAGGTATTAAAATCGATGTTAATTG